GGTTCTGATAGTTAGAAAAAATAGTTCACAATTCAAAGGCATGGCTCCTTTTTACTGTAGTAGTTGTTTAAATTTTAAAAATTGACTTAAAAATTATTGTTTATAATAGAATGTTTGACTATAGTTACAATTACTTTTAATTAAAAATTTTAACAATGTTCTTGTATACTTCGTTTTTGATGGTTTTTATAGGATAATCTCACGTTTGTAAGTATATAATAAGCTTTTATAACTTATTATTCTAAGCATTTTTGTCATTTCTTATAGATGTCTTGAGAAAGGAAATAAACATTTCCGAAAGCTTGACAACAAGAGTGTTCTTATTACATTAGCCCTTAGCACTATTGACTGCAATCCCAAATACATCACTGGTTTTTTTCTTAACTAGTCAGTCAAGACTACCCTTCCTGCTCTATATATATATATAAGGTGATATGTAAAAACTACAGTCATCGACATTTTTTTTTAATATTTCGAAGAAACTGTTTTAAAAAGTTTTCCAATGAACTACATATAAAAGATCATTTTCTTCCGACATTTTTTAACTATTTGTTTTTAACAAACAAATATGAAATGTTGTTTTCTAGAGAATGCGCCAAATTCCACTACCAGACAATTATTGGTTAGTAATAAGTAGAGATCGGAAATGTTAGGGCGGCTGCACTGTGGTACGGGGTTGACTGTAGGCCGGATTCTCTTTTATGTAATTTTATTCAAACAAAAAGTGACACGACTATTGCTTTGCACTCTTGCAATTATAAGAATATATATCTAAGTACTTGCATAATAGTATGAATGAAAAAGGATCAGTGTCTATTTTTCTACATCAAACGCTTCACATGGAACTTACCATAAAATATAAAGATATAGTAAGTAATAGTAACACAGGCACATATAAGTTTTTAATAGATGCTTTTTTTTACTAATTGTGGTGAAGCATCAACTACTTTACGTTTTAGTAATCCCACTATCGGCATTATTGTACAATGTCTACCTCTGATCTAAAGCTTCCCATTGATCAATTTATTCGATACGTATCTAGCAGCACACAGTGGTCGGAAATCCGAAAAAACTGGACAAAAGTCCAAAACGGTTAGCATCATCACCAAAACTGGGGTCTCTATGTTTTTCAGGTCGCTAAAACCGAATTTGCTGTCAAAAATCTCAAATTCAAGATAGCTGACACAAAATGGCCTGTATATCACGTTAATTTATTGAATCTAATTAAAATTTCGAGCACGTCTAATATTGAGGTTTCGTAAAACGTGTTTAAGGTTGGAATTTGATGATTTTGAGCAAACTAATTATAAATAAAATACGAAAGGTAAATTATCTGCGACATAAGGCATATATTTGGAATGATTTCCTAATTTCGAGTGAAACAATTTCAAATACTATTGAAGCTTATTCTTATTATAAAGCTTATTCTAATACATATGAGTCATTATCTGTCATACAACCTTCAGAGCATGAAAACATCGCCATAGCTTCGGATGAAAAGTATTTCTCACTTTCATCTATCTTGAAATACGGCACCTTTTTAGAAAAATGTTGATCTAAAATGATTTGCGTTTCTAAATTCTCGTGGAATTTTCCTTTCGAAAACCGAAAAATTTCTTTTTTCGTTCACATAATTTAACTGGTGCCTGATCTTGTCTAAAATGATAAATTGTGAATTGAAAAATCATAGATAAAAATATGATAAGTGATACATGACTCAGAACCTGAATCCGGAAAAATCCGGAGGTTTTCTCTTTTGATATATGAATTTGACACTTCTTTACGCATTTTCCAACTTTTAATAGTGGGGATCTCTTAGGATCACAACTATTTCGATATTTTACGATTGACGTGATTTGAAATCGATGGAAATTGCAAGATGTTTTTGTTTACACAATGAAAACATTCAACTTTTAAAAAATGAGGTTATAGATGAGCAAATGTATTCGACTTACCTCCAGGAACACACTCCATATCCATATTGCACACAACGATTCGTACTCTTATAAAAATTTGCTCGTATTTTCAATTGCTAGGATATTATGAAGTATTAACGCAAACCAATGATTTTGAACATTCGACTTTTGTCCAGTTTTTTCGGAATTCCGACCACTGTGCGGCACCATAATGCCTGCTCTATCGGTCTAGCCGGTGAATAATCCAATTTTTTTGCTGAGCTACGTTGGCAGTGCATTTCATTGTCGTTTGTCGGTGTGTGAGTGAGTTTGACGCTTTGCTTGGTCGAATGTGTATGGCACGTGTTTTTATGGCAGTCGGTACCATTGTGTATCATGAGCATAGAGCGGCACACAACTTGACACACAGATTTAGCCCATTTCCACTACTACAACACATACTGCCGCTTAAGCATAATATAGATTACTACTGTTTATTTATTTGATTGCCGCCACAATGTTTTCGAGTCTGGTAATAAGTAAGTAATAATTAGTAGTTCAAAGAAAAACTGTCTACAGACAGTTCTTTTTGAAGATGCAGGGTGCGGGGATTTTTAGTCATATATCTCTGTAAAGTACATAGTATTTTTTTTATTTTACGGGATGAATAATATCGTGGACCAGTGTTAACAGATATTGTTTCAATTGAATGGGCTCATTCAGCAAATTTTTTTATTTGCTTGACGGAAAGATATTGCAGTTTTAAGGTTCTCTGCAAAAAATTTGAATGTTTGTCGGTCAGTCGGGTAGTCGGGTCTTAGTTGCCTGTTAAGATTCGAATGAGTACGATAAGATATTGAATTTTGTTAGCACTATGGAAGACACAGAACGGAAAAAAAATACAAATACTGTATTATTCACCAGAACTCTGCGTAATTTAGGTATGTAATAAATACGTTTGTATCCTCTAGAAACATACACTTGTGTTTTCCATTGTTGATTTTTTGCAAATATTATACAAATACCTATAGGTACTAAGTATGTATATGATGTATAAAAATACATAATAAATATTATATTATTAATATATTTACAAGATATTATCTATGTAGTTTCCAGGGAATAAAATAGTAATAAGAATTTTGCATTTGATTAGGTAGATCTTTGAAACCTGTGACAGACGGTTTCACCCAATTAAACGCGAAATCCTTATTCTTATTTACTATTCTTATTGTACAAAAACATTAAAACTTTCGCTACGAACGTCCTTTAAAAAACTTTACACGTTATCGAAACGTAACCTTTGCATTTTCACTCCTCACATCTCAGCACTGATAAAGTAGTGGTTTTTATTAAAAAAATCCATAACCATTAACAAATCTACTTCTGGCAAATTAGAAGAATTTTACGAAATTTGCTTCCATTTTTTACATTTAATATGTACAAACGCCAAAACATTCTGTAGATGCAGAAACTGATCTGGAAGTAACGGCCAACACAAACAAAACAAATATTCGCATTTTAAAAATCATGTAGTTTAAAAACTGCTCAACGGATTGAGTTGAAATTTTCATTATCTCCTAATCATGAGCAATACTTTGTGTATATAAAATAAGAATGT